CCTGGCGGGGTCTCTGGCAGGGAAGGGCTCAGCCTCCTGGGCATCCCCGAGGCCCAGCAGATGGCGGGCTTGTGCTCAGCCGGGCTCGGGGCCCTGGCAGCCCCTTCTTGGACCAGGCCCTGCACACGCTTAGTCAGATGGCCCCGGTTGGGAGTCTGCTGGCAAATCTGCGCAGGCTGGGCGCACCGGCCAGTCCCGGCCCAGGGAGGTGGGAGGCCGTGCTGCAGGGCAGCACCTGTCACCAGAGCAGGTGACTGGAGGAAGAGCGTCCATCGCGCTCCTCTGCTGACCCAGCCCCGGCCCGGGCTCCTGTGTGCTGCGGGCAGCGCTGGAGAGAGAAGGTGGGCAGCTGGGTGTCCTGGGGCTGGGAAGGGGACGCCGATGGGCGTGGGTGAGCAAGTGACCTTCAGGCTGCTGTTTGGCCCAGTGGCGGCTACCTGGGCCTCCTGTACCTCAGTGGGAGGTTCTCGGTGGCCAGAACCGCCCCCCTCCCAGGGAGGCCCCCCCCGGGCCACACACCCCTGTGCTGCCACACTGTGTGGTGGGATGCAGGAGGAGGCAGCGTGGAGGTCGGGTGGGCAGCGGGGCTCTGCAGGGCTGAGCTGGCCGCCCGTCGGGTGGGCAGTGGAGATCAGGGCTGAGCTGGCCGCCCGTCAGGTGGGCAGCGGGGCTCTGCAGGGCTGAGCTGGCCGCCCGTCAGGTGGACAGCGGGGCTCTGCAGGGTTGAGCTGGTCGCCCGTCAGGTGGGCAGCGGGGCTCTGCAGGGCTGAGCTGGTCGCCGGTCGGGTGGGCAGTGGAGATCAGGGCTGAGCTGGTCGCCCGTCAGGTGGGCAGCGGGGCTCTGCAGGGCTGAGCTGGTCGCCGGTCAGGTGGGCAGCGGGGCTCTGCAGGGATGTGGAGGGAGGAGGGAAAGAAAGGGAGGGAGGTGGAGGGGCAGGGGCACACAAGGTCTCGCAAGGTGGTGGTCCTGCTGCCCGGCCAGGCCCTTCCTCTCCCAGGGGGCATTGTTTTTGGTCCCTCAGCCTGGCAGTGCCCCACCCGCTTACGCTAGGGTCCTGGGACTAACGCCTGCAAGAATTAAATAGGAGATAATGCATGTGGAATAAACAAGGGGCTCCGGAACTCTTTGAGCTCTGGATCTCTGTTGAATTAAGGCACAGCTATGTCAAACTTGACCAGGTTGCCACGGTGTCTGCCAGCAGCAGGGGGAGGCTCCAGGCGGATGGGCGCTGTGTGCCTGGTGCAGGGGAGGCTCAGCCACAGGCTGGTGGCGTGGCACAGGTGGACGCAGCTCACAGGTCTCCAGAGCCACATCCGGCTCGGTGCCCTGAGCGACGCGTGACGGGCTCACGGGGCTTTCCGTGCCCGTCCTGCGTGCCCCGGGAGGCCCACCCCAGCGCTTTGCGGTTGCTCTTCCTCTCGGACACTCTCTGCCCTCACGGGGCGCGTTTTGCTGAGGGGAGGGCTCCCCTCCGCCCTGGCACATGCGGCCCACTTGCTCATGGGAGCCGGCTGTGGAAGCGGCCGTTCCCTCCAGGGTCTTGTTCCTGAAACTTGTCAGCACACGGGGATTGGCAGGACTCCTCTTCCCCCTGGCTTCTCCGGCCCGGCCGCGCTGCCCGGTGTCCTGCCCGCGGGGCCTTGGGTCTCCTGCGGCCACCGCTGTACCGTGTCCTGGCCCTGCCTGGTGTCCTGCCTGCGAGGCCTTGGGTCGGCCCTGCGGCCACCGCTGCTGTACCGTGTCCGGCCGCTTTCCTCCACGGGACCAGTGATGGAGGGTGGGACAGGAAGTGGGCGCTGCGGGTCGTGACCTCGGGAGACTGCAGCACAGCTTAGCAGTCGGGTAGGAGAGCTAGCACAGCGCAGAGGGACAGAGCTCAAACGCAACCAGGCGCGGAGGTTGCCCTGGACGAGGCACGGGATGAGATCCAGATCGGATCCCCTGGGTCTTTGGAAGCCATTGTGCCCCATGCCTTGTGCTGGCAGCACCAGGGAGGAGAGCCGTTATGCAGGGAGGAGTATTTTGTGATCTACTGGTTCGTATCACAGGATAGAAATCACTAGAAACATCGTCAAGCATGGCTGCATCCAGCTGCAAGTGTGGCAGCCCCTGGACTCAGCCCTGGGTCTCTCTCTGTCCTTCCTTGCACACCCCTCCCCGGCTAGCTTGCTCCCAGGCAGCCATTTTCACAAAGTGATGAGCAACAGCTCCAGGACCGAGGCTGGAGGGGGAGGAGGCCGGCTCTGGGGGGCAAAGGGTGGGGACAGGGGGAGAGAGGAGGAGTGCAGAGGAAGACGTGAGGGGAAGGGGTGGGGGAGGGGAGGAGAAGCGGGTGCGCTCCCAGGCTAATGATAGAGAGGGTCAGGGGTGGGAGGCCAGATGCCCAGCCGTGTACAGCTGCCCTCCAGGGCCTGGGTTCGTCTACCTGTGTGACCTTGGGAAACGAACTTAACCTCTCTGGACCTCACTGGTGTCTTCTGTAAGACCAGCAGTTGGGTGGAGTCTGACAGTAGAGGCTCAGAGGCTTCCGACCCTCTGCTCCTCTGTTCTTGGTGGCTGGCGGCCGGCCATAGGCTGCTGGTGAGTGAACTCTTGGTAGAAGTGAGAGCAGATGCAGACATCGGTGGAGGCGGCAGTGCAGGGGTGAGGGGAGGGGCTCTCCCCACGGCCTCCATGCCAGGGCACAAAACGCAGCCCTGGCCTGGCCCGGCTGCCCAGAGCAGTCCGCCCTGTGGATCTGGAAGCAGCTTCGTGCTGTGGCTTGGGCCCCAGTCAAAACTTCTCTGGAGGCTGCCACCTGCCTCATGGCGCTCCCAGAGGTGTCTCATGGGGAGGCTGGGCTGGGGACCAGGCTGGGCCGGGTGTGGGGAGGCCAGGGACCAGGCTGGGCCTGGTGTGGGGAGGCCAGGGACCAGGCTGGGCTGAGGTCTGGGAAGGAGGCCAGTTGGGGTGGGTATGGGGCTGGGTTGGGGTCTGGGTTGGGGTGGCTGTGGGGCTGGGGTCTGGGCTGGGGTCTGGGTTGGGGTGGCTGTGGGGCTGGAGTCTGGGCTGGGGTCTGGGTTGGGGTGGCTGTGGGGCTGGGGTCTGGGTTGGGGTGGCTGTGGGGCTGGGGTCCGGGATGGAGGCCCGTTGGGGTGGCTGTGGGGCTGGGCTCCGGGATGGAGGCCCGTTGGGGTGGCTGTGGGGCTGGGCTGGGGTCTGGGTTGGGGTGGCTGTGAGGCTGGGCTCCGGGATGGAGGCCCGTTGGGGTGGCTGTGGGGCTGGGCTGGGGTCTGGGTTGGGGTGGCTGTGGGGCTGGGCTGGGGTCTGGGTTGGGGTGGCTGTGGGGCTGGGCTCCGGGATGGAGGCCCGTTGGGGTGGCTGTGGGGCTGGGGTCCGGGATGGAGGCCCGTTGGGGTGGCTGTGGGGCTGGGCTGGGGTCTGGGTTGGGGTGGGTGTGGGGCTGGGCTGGGGTCTGGGTTGGGGTGGCTGTGGGGCTGGGCTGGGGTCTGGGTTGGGGTGGCTGTGGGGCTGGGGTCCGGGATGGAGGCCCGTTGGGGTGGCTGTGGGGCTGGGTTGGGGTGGGTTGGGGTGGCTGTGGGGCTGGGGTCTGGGTTGGGGTGGGTGTGGGGCTGGGCTGGGGTGGCTGTGGGGCTGGGGTCTGGGTTGGGGTGGCTGTGGGGCTGGGCTGGGGTCTGGGTTGGGGTGGCTGTGGGGTCTGGGCTGGGGTCTGGGCTGGGGTGGCTGTGGGGCTGGGCTGGGGTCTGGGTTGGGGTGGCTGTGGGGCTGGGCTGGGGTCTGGGCTGGGGTGGCTGTGGGGCTGGGGTCTGGGCTGGGGTGGCTGTGGGGCTGGGGTCTGGGCTGGGGTGGCTGTGGGGCTGGGGTCTGGGTTGGGGTGGGTGTGGGGCTGGGGTCTGGGTTGGGGTGGGTGTGGGGCTGGGCTGGGGTGGCTGTGGGGCTGGGCTGGGGGCTGGGTTGGGGTGGCTGTGGGGCTGGGGTCTGGGCTGGGGTGGCTGTGGGGCTGGGGTCTGGGCTGGGGTGGCTGTGGGGCTGGGGTCTGGGTTGGGGTGGGTGTGGGGCTGGGGTCTGGGTTGGGGTGGGTGTGGGGCTGGGGTCTGGGTTGGGGTGGCTGTGGGGCTGGGCTGGGGTCTGGGTTGGGGTGGCTGTGGGGCTGGGCTGGGGTCTGGGTTGGGGTGGCTGTGGGGCTGGGGTCTGGGTTGGGGTGGGTGTGGGGCTGGGCTGGGGTGGCTGTGGGGCTGGGCTGGGGGCTGGGTTGGGGTGGCTGTGGGGCTGGGCTGGGGTCTGGGTTGGGGTGGCTGTGGGGCTGGGCTGGGGTCTGGGTTGGGGTGGCTGTGGGGCTGGGCTGGGGTCTGGGTTGGGGTGGGTGTGGGGCTGGGCTGGGGTGGCTGTGGGGCTGGGCTGGGGGCTGGGTTGGGGTGGCTGTGGGGCTGGGCTGGGGTCTGGGTTGGGGTGGCTGTGGGGCTGGGCTGGGGTCTGGGTTGGGGTGGCTGTGGGGCTGGGTTGGGGTGGCTGTGGGGCTGGGCTGGGGTCTGGGTTGGGGTGGCTGTGGGGCTGGGCTGGGGTGGCTGTGGGGCTGGGCTGGGGTCTGGGCTGGGGTGGCTGTGGGGCTGGGCTGGGGTCTGGGTTGGGGTGGCTGTGGGGCTGGGCTGGGGGCTGGGTTGGGGTGGCTGTGGGGCTGGGCTGGGGGCTGGGTTGGGGTGGCTGTGGGGCTGGGCTGGGGGCTGGGTTGGGGTGGCTGTGGGGCTGGGCTCCGGGATGGAGGCTTCGGGTGTGAAAGCTCACAGCTCTGGTCCCCACGGTGCCCGCTCTCCCCTGCCCGCCTTTGGCTCTTCTGCCTGGGACTCGGTGTCCCTGGGCTGGGGGGAGGTGACCCCCTGACTGCCCACGGGGGGGCCGGCGGGACCCTCGCGCGGCCCTGCGGCCGGGCCAGCGCCCCGGTGTCAGCAAGGCCTCCCTCTTCCCTCCAGCGCCGCGCGCTGGGGCGGCGAAGCCCGGCTTGGCCGCCTCCCTGAGGATGGAGCCCCGCGGCGGCCCTGGGACGAGCCGCCCGTCCCGGAAGCTGCGGTCCATCTCCCGCTCCCTGATGCTCTGCCACGGGAGGGCCAGCGAGGACAGCTCCAGCCCCGAGGAGGGGTTCCCCGGCGCCCCGGGGCGCCGGCGCCCGGCCACCCCGCTGGACGGCGCGGCCCAGCCCGGGCCCCCGGGCCTCGCGGACCTCGCGCCGGCCGCGGAGGCCGCGGGAAGCACGCACGGCCGGAGGACGCGCTTCGCCAAGGTAGGCCGGGCGCTGGGGGCCGCCTTCGGCCGCGCTTCGGCATCCGGGCGCCAGCGGAACCGCACGCCCGACGGCAGCGAGGGTGCGGGTGACGCTTGGCCGAGAGCCGGGACGGGTGTCGGTGCCAGAGCCCCAGCGCGGAGCCCCGCGGGACGGGCCGTGCTGTGCGTGCGCGTCCCCCTCCTGCGCTCCTGCGGCGCGCGCGCGTCCCCCTCCTGCGCTCCTGCGGCGCGCGCGCGTCCCCCTCCTGCAGTGCGCGTGCGCGTCCCCCTCCTGCGCTCCTGCGGCGCGCGCGCGTCCCCCTCCCGCGGCGCGTGCGCGTCCCCCTCCCGCGGCACGTGCGCGCCCCCCTCCTGCGGTGCGCGTGCGCGTCCCCCTCCTGCGGCGCCTGCGCGCCCCCCTCCTGCGGTGCGCGTGCGCGTCCCCCTCCTGCGGCGCCTGCGCGTCCCCCTTCTGCGGCGCGTGCGCGTCCCCCTCCTGTGCTCCTGCGGCGCGCGCACGTCCCCCTCCTGCGCTCCTGCGGCGCGCGCGCGTCCCCCTCCTGCGGCGCGTGCGCGTCCCCCTCCTGTGCTCCTGCGGCGCGCGCACGTCCCCCTCCTGCGGCGCGCGTCCCCCTCCTGCGGCGCGCGTCCCCCTCCCGCGGCGCGCGTCCCCCTCCCGCGGCGCGCGCGCGTCCCCCTCCCGCGGCGCGTGCGCGTCCCCCTCCTGTGCTCCTGCGGCGCGTGCGCGTCCCCCTCCCGCGGCGCGCGTCCCCCTCCCGCGGCGCGTGGAAGTGTGGGGTGTGTGCGCGTGCGTGTATGTGTGCGTGGTGCATGTGTATATATGTGTGCATGCATGTGTGTGCGTGTGTGGTGTCCACCTCCAGACGGAGGTGTAAGTAGCCTCCCGCCGCGGGCTGGGTGCTGGGGAGCGTGGGCAGGGGAGGGGGGTCTTTGGGCCGGCGGGGAGGGAGGGGCAGAGCCCGGCTCGGCCCTGGGGCCTCACGGCCGTCCGAGGAGGAGCCGGGCTCCGCCTCTGTGTGGGGCTCTCAGTCGGGGGCCGGTGGCAGAAGCCAAGGGCGCATCCCTGCCCTCTCCGAGGTGCCCGGAGGACTGCCCTGCCCTCCCCTCCCGGCACAGCCCCGCCCGGGTGTGACTCGGCCTGCACAGCCTCCTCAGCCTCCAGCAATGCCGTGGGTTTCAGAACAGCATCTGGAGGGCCCTCCGCAGCCACGCTGACAAAAAGCCTCTTCAGAGGGGTGGAGGTGCACGCGGCCCAGGGCCGCCAGCTCCCGCCCGAGGCCGTGCGGGGTGCGGGGTCCAAAGCCGGCCCTGGAGCCAGGACGCCCAGCGGCACCCGGGTCGGAGTCCGGAGGCAGAATGCTAGGCGGTGCCAGGCTCCAGGGGCCGGCGGGAGAAGCGGGGTGAAGACAGCGTCCGCCCCGAGCCCGTCCCCCCCAACACACGCCACGGCCTCCAGCATTCTCTCTTCTTTTCTTTTTGTGCTGGTCTTAGGGCTTGAGCTCAGGCTCTGGGTGCTGTCCTTGAACCGTCTTTGCTCAAAGCTAGCACTCTACCACCTGAGACACAGCTGCACGTCCAGCTTTCTGCTGATTGATTGGACATAAGAGCTTCACAGACTTTCCTGCCGTAGCTGGTTTCCAAACCGTGCTCTTTAGATCTCAGACCAGGAGCTGGGATGGCAGGCGTGAGCACCCGGGCCCGGCTTCTGGCTTTGCTGGGTTAGGGAAAGGCCCCGTGCTGAGCGCAAGTTCCAAGCCGTCCAGTCAGGCTTGCGCTGCTGCAGCAATGCCCCAGCCAGGGGACCAAGTGCGCAGGAGCTGGGCCTGCGGTGCGTACCAACTCAGGCCTCCCCCGGTCTGGATGTGCAAGCTGAAGCAGGAGGCACATACCTGCAGTCAAATAGATGGGAGGGGCGAAGGAGGGAAGCAAGCCTGCACAGAGACCAGCAAACTCACACAGGACTTTTCTGTGAAGTGTTTGCATATCAGTTTACCCTTTTCCTCTCCAATCTGTGCTCACCTACTCCAAGGGTAGCTTATGTAAGTTCTTCTTCTTCCATCTTAACAACTTATTTGATAGTTACGGGTTTGGCACGATACTTGGTGTGGTTTCCGAAGCGTTTGGATGTGTATGCAGGTTCTTGCTCTCGCTTGTGAATTATTCCGGGTGCTCTATGCGCTGTCCTCCCGCCTCCTTCAGGCTAATGCGCCCTTTGCAAGTCCGCTGCTCTTTCTGTTATCTCGTTAGGCATATGATTTTGTTATCATTAAAATATAAACATACTTTCTGGAAACACCCGTCTCCTACAACCTCTGCTAAGAGCAGAGAATTCCACAAGGTGGCAGAGGCGGGCTGGCTGCCCGGCTCGCTGATGTCGGGCGTGGTCCTGGATCTGCTGCCCCCTCCCCCTGTGCGTCTTCACCAGGCCCTACATGCAGCCTGTGGATGCCTGCAATGTCCAGCCACAGGCCGGGGTGACGGGCGCCAGCCCTTCCGAGGCCATCTTCTACCCACATCTGCGCACGTGCCTCGGCGTCTCGGTGGCTAACGTCACCCGGCTGCGCTCACTCGCCGGCCGGGCCTCCACGGTGACACCGGGGCGTGGCTCACGGCTCAGGGGCGTGGGTGCCTGCAGATCCTTGCGGGGAGGGATTTGCACGGGGGTCGTCCATACAGGCATGGCCCAGGCTGGTGTCCATTCTCCTGAGACAACCCCGGGTTTACCGAGCTCGGGTCCGGCTGGGGTCCGGAGCCCCCGGGGTTTATGGAGTTTGGATCTGGCCAGGGTCCGGAGCCCTGGGGTTTACGGAGCTCGGGTCTGGCCAGGGTCCAGAGCCCCAGGGATTACAGAGCTCGGGTCCGGCACCCCAGGGTTTACGGAGCTCGGGTCTGGCCAGGGTCTGGAGCCCCCCGGGGTTTATGGGAGCTGGGGTCCGGCCGGGGTCCGGAGCCCCTGCCCTCCCCCCGCCCCCCGCCGGCTCAGGCAGCGTTGCCAAGCATAGAGGCTGCTCGGGTGGTGAGTTCGGGTGTGTGCCATGTGTGGACATGGTCCGGCCTGGCAGCTGAGCTCCTTTGTCTCCCTGCCGGTGGGCAGCTCGGCCTGCGGCGTGGTGGCCTAGGCATCCCTGGCGAGTGGGAAATGAAGTCCCTGGGCCGCAGACCTCTTCCTGCCACAGAGGAGCAGCTGTGAGTGCTGACCACAGCCGGGGGGGGGGGGATGCAGGACTCCCGTGGAGCTGCCGTGTCCCTGTGTGTGTGCACGCGAGGCGAGGAGGCCCCGAGGAGTGTGTGGCTTCCAGTCCGTGTGCAAGCGCCTGGGCTCCTCCCCTAGGAGCTGCTGTTGGTCTTGGTATTTTGAGAGCGTGGTGGGAAGGGGGAAGAAAGGAGCGTGGGAGAAGGTGAAGCGTCCATCTTCCCGTCTGCTCTCGAAGCTGCCCCTTCTACAGCGCGGCCCAGCCCGGCCTCCCCCCTGATCGCCTGGCCACGGACCTCCGCCGGCGGGCCTCTACCCCACCCGGCCATGCTGCCGCCTCCACCCGAAGCCCCATCCCCACCCTCTATGCAGACAAACCCCGGCCCTCCCGATCCTCAGGCCCAGCGGGTACCAGAGATAATCAACTCAGAGGACAGAAGGCTTGGTTTGGCTGAGACAGAGAGATTGGGGGGGGACTGAAATTGGCTCATTCTCCCCCTTACATGAAAGCCGGGTCCTTTGCTGCTTTGCAGGAATCTTCCACGGCCCCCTCTAGAGAAAAGCCGGGCGGAGCCGAGGCCCAGCGTGGTCACTTCCTGTTTCCTAAGGCCTGCCACCAGCGGACACGCAGCAACTCCACCAGTAAGTGTGTCCTCCGTGGCCCGGACGTCCCGGAGCCAGGGCCGGGGCTGCATCCAAACCTCAGTCTCCTTCCTGCCTTCCTGCCCACCTGGACTACACCTAGCGGGCGTGGCCGGCCTCGCCCGGGCACTCTTCAGGGCCTCCACCCCAGGCTGGCCTCCTGTAGCCGGCTCCACGTGGCCGCGCTGCCGTCTGCACAGGCCTCTTCTGGCCTCGGGCGGCAGGGGTGCGGGGAGACACCTCGTCCCTCTGAGGGCTTGAACCGGGCGCCCTCCGGTGGAGAAGGTGGGAGGTGCGGAAGCTGCGGCTCTGAAGCCAGTGCTGGGTGGTGGGAAGGACAGGGGTCGCTAATACACTCTTTCGGGAGTCTCACTGGTTTTACCTGGTGTTGCCTGTGTGGCTGGCGTGGTGCGTCAGCGGCTTGAGCTGGAGGATGGGAAGGCGGAGGATGCTGTATAAGTTGCTTTCTGAGATGCTGAGGGCTGTCCCTGTGGGAGTGGCTGCTGTGGGGGTCTGCGGGGCCTCCCCGACGGGCCCTCGCTCGGTTCTGCCGGCTGGGGATGGGGGGGGGGGTCTGCCGGGTCTGCGGGGTCTCCCTGATGGGCCCTCGCTCGGTTCTGCCGGCTGGGGATGGGGGGGTCTGCCGGGTCTGCGGGGCCTCCCCGACGGGCCCTCGCTCGGTTCTGCCGGCTGGGGATGGGGGGGTCTGCCGGGTCTGCGGGGCCTCCCCGACGGGCCCTCGCTCGGTTCTGCCGGCTGGGGATGGGGGGGTCTGCCGGGTCTGCGGGGCCTCCCCGACGGGCCCTCGCTCGGTTCTGCCGGCTGGGGATGGGGGGTCCTCTGCTTCCACCCCCTTCTTGTTGAGACTGGAACGCATTGGCAGGTGGACAGGCTGGATGTGGTTGTGGTTTCCCGGGGCCTCGTGCTGGAGTTGGCATGTGGAGATGTCGGTCGTCAGCCTGCCAGCCTGAGGAAGGGCCGCCTGCCCCCGCAGGGCAGGGCTGGTGTGCGGGAGGAGGGACGCGCTGCCTGTGCCTGTGCCGGTGCCCCCCCCGCCATGCCTGGCTCGGGGCGCCGCGCGAACCCCGGCTGGTGAGGAGGGACGCGCTGCCTGTGCCGGTGCCCCCCTGCCCCGTGCCTGGCTCGGGGCGCCGCGCGAACCCCGGCTGGTGAGGGTCCGGCAGGGGCAGAGGCTGGCCCCCCCCTCCAGCTGTGCCTTTTGAGACGGCCGATGCCTTCCCAGGTTTCCCCCTCTCCACCCAGGTGTTAATCCGTACTGCTCGGGAGATGACTTCCCAATGACCAAGAAACCGGCGGCCGCTGCCGACCCGCAGCCGCACCCTCTCTGCAGCACCAGGAAGTCGCTCTCTCAGCAGCTGGACTGTCCGGGGGCACAGACGGCGGTGAGGGCGGAGGGCGGGCGGAGGGCGGGCGGAGGGCAACCTCGGCCGGGCTGACCACGCCTCGCCGGGTTCATGACACAACCACAGCGGTGCTGGACTCAGGCAAAATAGAGAGCAGATTTAGAAATCCTGCAGGAGGAGCCGTCTGCTGAGCTCCACACACGCACCAGGCCCGGGTGGCAGCGGGGCTGCCTCTCTCCTGCCCGGGTCTGAGGACGCAGGCCTGGCGTGGGCTCCACCAGGCCCACGAAACCCTGGTTCTCCTCACAGGGAGCCTGGAGGCCCACGCGGTCGCTGAGCACGGTGCAGCTGGGGCAGCCCTGGGGGCCACAGGCCTCTGTCATCTCCAACGTCGTGCTCATGAAGGGCCAGGCCAAGGTAAGTGGGGCCATGGCCGCCGGCTCCTCTCCCAACGTGGCGCGGTACTCTCGGCCGGCCTGGGGACCCGCCAGGCGGCATTGAACCCTCGGAGCTGGCTCCCTCTTTCCTTCACGGAATCCTAGCTCCAGGACTTGTTCCTACCTGACACCCAAACCCACATCGTTGGCAGAGATGTAGGGGAAGACACGTTACCTGTCCTCTCCAGAGGGCGGGAGAAGAACACTGGGCACACAGATGTGTGAGCTCTGGGTTCCCTGCTCCACTGGGTGGCTCAAGGGTGTGTGGGCTTGGCCATCAGCTGCAGCGCCCTCCAATTCCTGGGGATGACAGGGCCGCGGGCCGACCGCTGTGTCCAACTGGAGTCTGTGTCCAGGCTGCAGTGCAGTGCATCAACCTGGGCTGTGGTATGATGCACGTCACGGGCTGTGGTATGGTGCAGGTCTCGGGCTGTGGTATGGTGCAGGTCACGGGCTGTGGTATGATGCAGGTCTTAGGCTGTGGTATAGATGCAGGTCACGGGCTGTGGTATGATGCAGGTCACAGGCTGTGGTATGGTGCAGGTCACGGGCTTTGCTATGGTGCAGGTCACGGGCTGTGGTATGGTGCAGGTCACGGGCTGTGGTATAGATGCAGGTCACGGTCTGTGGTATGGTGCAGGTCACGGGCTGTGGTATGGATGCAGGTCACGGGCTGTGCTATGGTGCAGGTCACGGGCTGTGGTATGGTGCAGGTCACGGGCTGTGGTATGGTGCAGGTCACGGGCTGTGGTATGGTGCAGGTCACGGGCTGTGGTATGATGCAGGTCACGGGCTGTGGTATGGTGCAGGTCACGAGCTGTGGTATGATGCAGGTCACGGGCTGTGGTATGGTGCAGGTCTCGGGCTGTGGTATGGTGCAGGTCACGGGCTGTGGTATGATGCAGGTCACGGGCTGTGGTATGATGCATGTCACGGGCTGTGGTATGGTGCAGGTCACGGGCTGTGGTATGATGCAGGTCACGGGCTTTGCTATGGTGCAGGTCACGGGCTGTGCTATGGTGCAGGTCACGGGCTGTGGTATAGATGCAGGTCACGAGCTGTGGTATGGTGCAGGTCACGGGCTGTGGTATGATGCAGGTCACGGGCTGTGGTATGGTGCAGGTCTCGGGCTGTGGTATGGTGCAGGTCACGGGCTGTGGTATGGTGCAGGTCTCGGGCTGTGGTATGGTGCAGGTCACGGGCTGTGGTATGGTGCAGGTCACGGGCTCTGGTATGATGCAGGTCACGGGCTGTGGTATGATGCAGGTCACGGGCTGTGGTATGGTGCAGGTCACGGGCTGTGCTATGATGCAGGTCTCGGGCTGTGGTATAGATGCAGGTCACGGGCTGTGGTATGGTGCAGGTCACGGGCTGTGGTATGATGCAGGTCTCAGGCTGTGGTGTGGTGCAGGTCTCAGGCTGTGGTATGATGCAGGTCACGGGCTGTGGTATAGATGCAGGTCTCGGGCTGTGGTATGATGCAGGTCACGGGCTGTGGTATGATGCAGGTCACGGGCTGTGGTATGATGCAGGTCACGGGCTGTGGTATGGTGCAGGCCTCGGGCTGTGGTATGGTGCAGGTCACGGGCTGTGGTATGGTGCAGGTCACGGGCTGTGATATAGATGCAGGTCACGGGCTGTGGTATGGTGCAGGTCACGGGCTGTGGTATAGATGCAGGTCACGGGCTGTGGTATGGTGCAGGTCTCGGGCTGTGGTATGGTGCAGGTCACGGGCTGTGGTATGGTGCAGGTCACGGGCTGTGGTATGATGCAGGTCACGGGCTGTGGTATAGATGCAGGTCTCGGGCTGTGGTATGGTGCAGGTCACGGGCTGTGGTATGATGCAGGTCACGGGCTGTGGTATGGTGCAGGTCACGGGCTGTGGTATGGTGCAGGTCTCGGGCTGTGGTATGGTGCAGGTCACGGGCTGTGGTATGGTGCAGGTCTCGGGCTGTGGTATGGTGCAGGTCACGGGCTGTGGTATGATGCAGGTCACGGGCTGTGGTATGATGCAGGTCTCAGGCTGTGGTGTGGTGCAGGTCACGGGCTGTGGTATAGATGCAGGTCACGGGCTGTGGTATGGTGCAGGTCACGGGCTGTGGTATGATGCACGTCACGGGCTGTGGTATGATGCAGGTCACGGGCTGTGGTATGGTGCAGGTCACGGGCTGTGGTATGGTGCAGGTCACGGGCTGTGGTATGGTGCAGGTCACGGGCTGTGGTATGATGCAGGTCACGGGCTGTGGTATAGATGCAGGTCTCGGGCTGTGGTATGGTGCAGGTCTCGGGCTGTGGTATGGTGCAGGTCACGGGCTGTGGTATGGTGCAGGTCACGGGCTGTGGTATGGTGCAGGTCACGGGCTGTGGTATGGTGCAGGTCTCGGGCTGTGGTATGGTGCAGGTCTCGGGCTGTGGTATGGTGCAGGTCACGGGCTGTGGTATGGTGCAGGTCTCGGGCTGTGGTATGGTGCAGGTCACGGGCTGTGGTATGGTGCAGGTCTCGGGCTGTGGTATGTTGCAGGTCACGGGCTGTGGTATGGTGCAGGTCACGGGCTGTGGTATGGTGCAGGTCTCGGGCTGTGGTATGGTGCAGGTCACGGGCTGTGGTATGGTGCAGGTCTCGGGCTGTGGTATGGTGCAGGTCATGGGCTGTGGTATGATGCAGGTCACGGGCTGTGGTATGATGCAGGTCACGGGCTGTGGTATAGATGCAGGTCACGGGCTGTGGTATGGTGCAGGTCACGGGCTGTGGTATGATGCAGGTCACGGGCTGTGGTATGGTGCAGGTCACGTTCTGTGGTATGGTGCTGCAACCCTAGTTGCAGACCATGCAGCACCTGTCTTCAGTATAATTCAACAGCCCAGGCTGCGTGTTTCTGCTCCTCCCATCCCCGTGTGCGCCCCTGTGGCCCTGTCCCTCTGATCCCATGTGATCCCCTGTGGCCGTGTCCCTCGGGCCCTGGCCCCCTCTTTGTCCGGGGGTCGGGCGGGTGCTCAGGAGGTGCACTTCTACCCCAGCCTCTCTTCCCCCCAGGGCCTGGGCTTCAGCATCGTCGGGGGAGAGGACAGCATTTATGGCCCCATTGGGATTTACGTCAAAACCATCTTTGCAGGGGGAGCTGCGGCGGCGGACGGAAGGCTACAAGAAGGTAGGCTGTCCGCCCCTTGCCAGGGAGTAGCCGAGAAACCAAAGGCAGGGCCCAGAATCATTTGGCCATACACAACCTGGGGTCTGCAGGTGTGTGTGCGGGGTCTTCTCCCTGAGCTCCCCACCATCGCTGGCCCAGGGGCCTTCACCAGCCTGGACTGCACCTCCCCTCCAGTGCCTCCACGCCGTGCTCCGGCCACGGCCAGTGTTCCCTGAGGCCCGCTCTCCTCCCCACCCCTGCCCACCTTCACCTGGCCATGGGGACCAAGCCCCGTGGTTTCAGCAGAGGAGGGAGAAGCCATTCTTTGAGAGGCTGCAGAGCCGAAGGCCTAGTAACATAGAGAAGAGTCGGACGTGACCCATCTGCTGGACTCCCGCCCCGCGACCCCCCGCCCCAGCTCCTTCCCCTCAGCGCTTGGTGTCTCCGTAGAACGGAAGCCCCGAGACCGCCTGGGAAGCGGAGGCACTTCCTGTGGGTGCTAGGGGGTCAGGGCCCCACCTTCAAGTCTACCCTGACGCTAGGTTAGACTGTCGGGTGGCCACTTGGTCTGCAGAGGTCTCTGGAGTCGAGCGGGGCGGTGAAGTTCACGGGCAGGCTGCAGGAGTCAGGCAGGCTGAGGGTGGGTATGGAGAGATGACTCACGTTGCCGACTGGCCGGGTAGCGACCACGTTTGCCAAACTGACACAGCGCCCCCCGGCCGCTGGCCTCGACGTGGGCAGCCCACGGGCCAGCTCCGGTCCAGCGCACCTGGGTTTATACTGCTCACGAATAAAGCCAGGCTCGCTCTTCTCGGGCTCGAACTTCCACACCGTTCTCTTTATTAGTGACGAGGAATCGGCATGAAGTTCTGCTTCTGCTGTCAGAGGGGAGCCTTACTGAGCTCGGCCAGGCTGCCCCTGGGCGTGCTGCGGGTGGCCTGCTTGGCTTTGACGCGGGCGCTGGGTGGTGAGATGGCCTGGCTCCACGGGAATTGGGGCGTTCGGCTCTGCCAGGAAGCTCGCAGCGGTATCCCGTGGCTGCGGGGCTGGTGAGCCGGGGCTGCCCGCCACCAGGAGCTGCGCCCGCAGGGGGCACGAAAGACGGAGCCAGAGCCCAGACAAGGAGGCCGGGCGGGCGGGGCAGGCCGGAGGAGGAAGAGGAGGAGGCGGGAAGGAAGAAGGGACGCCGGGGTGGACGGATGGCAGAGGGGAGGCCATGGGTCCCGGCGGACACCAGGGGCTGCTGTTCACCAGCCAGCAGTGACCAGCCAGCGATGGCGGAGTGCAGAATCCAGGGCCTTCAGCACTGGGGAAAGAAGGGAGGAGGGGGGGAGGGCAGTGCGGGGAGGGGAGGGCAGTGCGGGGGGGAGGGCAGTGCGGGGAGGGGAGGGCAGTGGGGGGAGGGGAGGGCAGTGCGGGGAGGGGAGGGCAGTGCGGGGGGGAGGGCAGTGCGGGGGAGGGGGGAGGGGAGGGCAGTGCGGGGGGAGGAGGGCAGTGGGGGGGAGGGGAGAGGGGAGGGCAGTGGGGGGGGAGGAGGGCAGTGGGGGGGAGGGGAGAGGGGAGGGCAGTGGGGGGGAGGGGAGGGCAGTGCGGGGGGGAGGAGGGCAGTGGGGGGGAGGAGGGGGGGGAGGGCAGTGCGGGGGGAGGAGGGGGGAGGGCAGTGCGGGGAGGGGAGGGCAGTGCGGGGAGGGAGGGGAGGGCAGTGGGGGGGAGGGGGGAGGGGAGGGCAGTGGGGGGGAGGGGAGGGCAGTGGGGGGGAGGGGAGGGCAGTGGGGGGGAGGGGAGGGCAGTGCGCGGGAGGGGTTAGTGTGGGGAGGGGGAGGACAGTGCGGGGGAGGGGAGGGCAGTGCGGGGGGGAGGGGAGGGCAGTGCGGGGGGGGGGAGGGGAGGGCAGTGCGCGGGAGGGGAGGAGGGCAGTGGGGGAGGGGAGGGCAGTGCGGGGGGGGAGGGGAGGGCAGTGTGGGGGGGAGGGGAGGGCAGTGCAGTGGGGGGGAGGGGAGGGTAGTGCGGGGGGGAGGGGGAGGGCAGTGCGGGGGGGGAGGGGAGGGTAGTGCGGGGGGGAGGGGAGGGCAGTGCGGGGGGGGGAGGGGAGGGCAGTGCGGGGGGGAGGGCAGTGCGGGGGGGGGGGAGGGGAGGGCAGTGGGGTCATCCGCGGACGGGCGGAGGGAGCGGCCGCTGGGACTGGCACTGCCCTGTGAGCGCAGAGTGGCGTGCTCTGTGTTCCTGCCTGGAAAGTGAGGCTTCATTACTGTTTTCTGATTGTCTCTCTAGTTCACAGCAATCCTAGGAGGGGAATTTCAACGCGCGGAGGAGATGCCGTGCTCCTAGTGTTTGTTCTAATTAATTAGCTGTGCCCTCAGGCTGTCTTTGTGAAGGGAGTTCTCACCCATTCTCTGGTTTCCGCAGGAGTACAAGAATGTTCTAGATCAAAGCTGCCGATGCTCTGACTGATGGTCTAAAGTGTATTTGGCAGAGCTCAGGCCCAGGCTTTTGACCAGGGTGGAAGCGCGGGGCTGGACCGCGGGGGCTCCTGGGGTAGACGCGTTCTTCCTTGGGGACGAAGGCCGCCCCGAGGCCTGCCTGCGGGGACTGAGGCCGCGGCCACACGGTGCTGTGCCCAGCGCTGTCCTCACTCTCCTGACAACAGGTGACGAGATTCTGGAGCTCAACGGGGAGTCGCTGGCTGGGCTAACACATCAGGCTGCCCTGCAGAAGTTCAAGGTGACTGTTTCTTCCCGCACGCGGCCATGACACCCGAGGGTTAGGAGCGCAGTCAGCTCAGGGCTGTCTGGAGTGTCTGTTTACATGCAATACATGTTGCACCGTTTACCCAGTGTGATAGTAGCACACGTGCACGCGTGTGTTGCACACGCGTGTTGTCCGCCTGTGCGGGAATGACGTGTGCGGCGTGGAGCACGTGGTGTGCACACGTTTGTGACGTGTAGTACTGTGTTGTATGGCGTGTGCCGTATGAAATCTGTAGGTGTGGATCTCAGAATATACCGCGCATACCGTGAACACACGCATGTGTGGAGTGGGATGCTCCACGTGTAACAGTGTGTGCGCACGTGACCGTGTAGTGGTTGTGTGTAGCGCACAGTGTGTGTGTCCTGCGCCGTGCGTGTGGAGCTCACGGCGTGTGCGCTGCGTGTGCGCGGCCGCGGCTGGTTTTGCTGTCTTCTGCGTCGGTCCTGAGTGGCTGATGGGGGACCCCTGTCCCCCCGCAGCTCGCCAAGAAGGGGCTGCTCACCCTCACGGTGCGCACCCGCCTGACGGCGCCCCCCGGGCCCGGCCGCCGCCCCTCGCCCCCTCTCTGCCGCTCCCTCAGCTCCAGCTCCTGTGCTGCCGGCGACGGCCCCCCCTTCCCCCCAGAGAGCCCCGCCAGGCCCAACTACAGAGTCATGGTGGAGGTTTCGCTGAAGAAAGGTTAGCGCGTGGCCGCGGGAGGGGCCCGGGCCGCCCTGGCTTCCCCCAGCCCCCTCCCCCTCAGCCTCCTCCCCCCTCCCCCTATCCTCAGCCTCCTCCCCCCTCCAGCCTCCTCCCCCTCCAGCCTCCTCCCCCTCCCCCTATCCTCAGCCTCCTCCCCCCTCCAGCCTCCTCCTCAGCCTCCTCCCCCCAGCCTCCTCAGCCTCCTCCCCCGCTAGCCTCCTCCTCAGCCTCCTCCCCCTCCAGCTTCCTCCCCCCTCCAGCCTCCTCCTCAGCCTCCTCCCCCTCCAGCTTCCTCCCCCCTCCAGCCTCCTCCTCAGCCTCCTCCCCCTCCAGCTTCCTCCCCCCTCCAGCCTCCTCCTCAGCCTCCTCCCCCTCCAGCTTCCTCCCCCCTCCAGCCTCCTCCTCAGCCTCCTCCCCCTCCAGCTTCCTCCCCCCTCCAGCCTCCTCCTCAGCCTCCTCCCCCTCCAGCTTCCTCCCCCCTCCAGCCTCCTCCTCAGCCTCCTTCCCCCCAGCCTCCTCAGCCTCCCCCACCCCCTCCAGCCTCTTCCTCAGCCTCCCCCACCCCTCCCCCTCCTCCTCAGCTCCCTCCACCCCATAGCCCCCTCCCCATCCTCCCCCCTCCATCTCTTCCCCTCAGGACCAGTTCCTCTGGCTGAGCTGGCCAGGCTTTCCCCTTTGCTGTCAGCCCAAGGACACTTTGAACCTCCCGGCTCTTTGTCACCTTAGTCTAAAGGTGGTCTCCTCTGAGGCTTGAACTGCCATCTGTCACCTGCTAGAACATGTCCCTTATGTCTCCCCTTCCCCCTTCCTGGTCTTTCTCCCACATCAACTCATTGCCCTTCCTGCCTGACCCGAGCACCAGCTGTTCTTGATGGATGGTGGGGTGGGCAGGTGGTGGGCGGGGTCCCTGTGGGCGGTGGGCGGGGTCACTGTGGCGGGTGGTGGGCGGGGTCAGTGGGCGGTGGGCGGGGTCACTGTGGCAGGTGGTGGGCGGGGTCCCTGTGGGCGGTGGGCGGGGTCACTGTGGCGGGTGGTGGGCGGGGTCAGTGGGTGGTGGGCGGGGTCACTGTGGCGGGTGGTGGGCGGGGTCACTGTGGGTGGTGGGAGGGGTCCCTGTGGGTGGTGGGCGGGGTCATTGTGGGTGGTGGGCGGGGGTCCCTGTGGGCGGTGGGCGGGGTCACTGTGGCGGGTGGTGGGCGGGGTCAGTGGGCGGTGGGCGGGGGTCACTGTGGCAGGTGGTGGGCGGGGGTCCCTGTGGGTGGTGGGCGGGGTCACTGTGGCGGGTGGTGGGCGGGGTCAGTGGGTGGTGGGCGGGGTCACTGTGGCGGGTGGTGGGCGGGGTCACTGTGGGTGGTGGGCGGGGTCACTGTGGGTGGTGGGCGGGGTCACTGTGGGCGGTGGGCGGGGTCACTGTGGGCGGTGGGCGGGGTCACTGTGGGTGGTGGGCGGGGGTCCCTGTGGGTGGTGGGCGGGGTCCCTGTGGGTGGTGGGCGGGGTCACTGTGGAGGGTGGTGGGCGAGGTCCCTGTGGGTGGTGGGCGGGGTCACTGTGGGTGGTGGGCGGGGGTCCCTGTGGGTGGTGGGCGGGGTCACTGTGGGTGGTGGGCGGGGTCACTGTGGGTGGTGGGCGGGGTCCCTGTGGTGGGTGGTGGGCGAGGTCACTGTGGGTGGTGGGCGGGGTCACTGTGGGTGGTGGGCGGGGTCCCTGTGGGTGGTGGGCGGGGTCACTGTGGAGGGTGGTGGGAGGGGTCCCTGTGGGTGGTGGGCGGGGTCCCTGTGGGTGGTGGGCGGGGTCACTGTGGAGGGTGGTGGGAGGGGTCCCTGTGGGTGGTGGGCGGGGTCATTGTGGGTGGTGGGCGGGGTCCCTGTGGGTGGTGGGCGGGGTCACTGTGGGTGGTGGGCGGGGTCCCTGTGGTGGGTGGTGGGCGGGGTCACTGTGGGTGGTGGGCGGGGTCCCTGTGGGTGGTGGGGGGGTCACTGTGGGTGGTGGGCGGGGGTCCCTGTGGGTGGTGGGCGGGGTCACTGTGGAGGGTGGTGGGAGGGGTCCCTGTGGGTGGTGGGGGGGGGTCATTGTGGGTGATAGGCGGGGTCACTGTGGGTGGTGGGCGGGGTCACTGTGGGTGGTGGGCGGGGTCACTGTGGGTGGTGGGCGGGGTCCCTGTGGGTGATGGGCGGGGTCCCTTGGGTGGTGGGCGGGGTCATTGTGGGTGGTGGGCGGGGTCCCTGTGGGTGGTGGGCGGGGGTCCCTGTGGGTGGTGGGCGGGGTCACTGTGGAGGGTGGTGGGCGAGGTCCCTGTGGGTGGTGGGCGGGGTCACTGTGGGTGGTGGGCGGGGTCCCTGTGGGTGGTGGGCGGGGTCACTGTGGGTGGTGGGCGGGGTCACTGTGGGTGGTGGGCGGGGTCCCTGTGGTAGGTGGTGGGCGAGGTCACTGTGGGTGGTGGGCGGGGTCCCTGTGGGTGGTGGGCGGGGTCACTGTGGAGGGTGGTGGGAGGGGTCCCTGTGGGTGGTGGGGGGGGTCATTGTGGGTGGTGGGCGGGGTCACTGTGGGTGGTGGGCGGGGTCACTGTGGGTGGTGGGCGGGGTCCCTGTGGTGGGTGGTGGGCGGGGTCACTGTGGGTGGTGGGCGGGGTCCCTGTGGGTGGTGGGGGGTCACTGTGGGTGGTGGGCGGGGGTCCCTGTGGGTGGTGGGCGGGGTCACTGTGGAGGGTGGTGGGAGGGGTCCCTGTGGGTGGTGGGGGGGTCACTGTGGGTGGTGGGCGGGGTCCCTGTGGGTGGTGGGCGGGGTCACTGTGGAGGGTGGTGGGCGGGGTCACTGTGGGTGGTGGGCGGGGTCATTGTGGGTGGTGGGCGGGGTCACTGTGGGTGGTGGGCGGGGTCCCTGTGGGTGGTGGGCGGGGTCCCTGTGGGTGGTGGGCGGGGTCATTGTGGGTGGTGGGCGGGGTCCCTGTGGGTGGTGGGCGAGGTCCCTGTGGGTGGTGGGCGGGGTCACTGTGGGTGATAGGCGGGGTCCCTGTGGGTGATAGGCGGGGTCACTGTGGCGGGTGATGGGCTGGGTCCCTGTGGGTGGTGGGCGGGGGTCCCTGTGGGTGGTGGGCGGGGTCACTGTGGGTGATAGGCGGGGTCACTGTGGGTGGTGGGCGGGGTCCCTGTGGGTGGTGGGCGGGGTCCCTGTGGGTGATAGGCGGGGTCACTGTGGGTGATGGGCTGGGTCCCTGTGGGTGGTGGGAGGGGTCCCTGTGGGTGGTGGGCGGGGTCACTGTGGGTGATAGGCGGGGTCACTGTGGGTGGTGGGCGGGGTCCCTGTGGGTGGTGGGCGGGGTCACTGTGGGTGATAGGCGGGGTCACTGTGGTGGGTGATGGCCGGGCGGGCCGGGCTCTGAGCTGTCGGCCAGGCCGCCATGGGGTGCGGCCCGCCACGGCGCACCGGGGAAAGCCCTCCCTTGTTGTCCTCAGAGGCCGGCGTGGGCCTGGGCGTCGGCCTGTGCAGCATCCCCTACTTCCAGTGCATCTCCGGCATCTTCATCCACACGCTCTCGCCGGGATCCGTGGCTCACCTGGATGGACGGCTGCGGTACGTCCGTGTCTGTGTCCCGCAGGCCCGGCCTCGGCCCCGGCCGCGCCCCCCCACGCGTGATCCCGGAGCCCGTGATCGGCTCGGCCCCGGCCGCCCCCCCACGCGTGATCCCGGAGCCCGTGATCGGCTCGGCCCCGGCCGCGCCCCCCACGCGTGATCCCGGAGCCCGTGATCGGCTCGGCCCTGGCCGCCCCCCCCACGCGTGATCCCGGAGCCCGTGATCGGCTCGGCCCCGGCCGCGCCCCCTCCCCACGCGTGATCCCGGAGCCCGTGATCGGCTCGGCCCCGGCCGCGCCTCCCCACGCGTGATCCCGGAGCCCGTGATCGGCTCGGTGAAGCAGCGCCTCGGGCGCGTCTGCAAACCCTGGGGTGCGGCCCGGGTGGGAGGAGCCGGGTCCGGGGCTGCTCGGGGGCTGCGGCCGCGCTCCCGGCCACCTCCCCGCGGCCCCCCCCCCCACACGGGAGGCTGCGGGAGGCTGGGCCCGGGGCCACCCGCGTCCGGCCGGGCCTCCACGGCGCGTGCGCGTGACCGCAGGTGTGGCGATGAGATCGTGGAGATCCGCGAGGCCCCCGCGCGCTGCATGACCCTCAGCGAGGTCCACGCCGTCCTGAGCCGCTGCGGCCCCGGCCCCGTCCCCATCGTGGTCAGCCGGCACCCGGACCCGCAGGTGACCGCCGCCGCTTCCTTCTGTGACCGCACGAGGCGGCCTGCAGGCTGCGCGCCCCCTCTCGGCCTGACGGGCGCCATGACGGCGGCGGCCCGGGCCTCGGCCTCGGACCGCGCGGTGCCAGCGATGTCACCGCGGACGGGAGAGCCGGGCGTGGGTGATGGCTCCTGAAGCCTGCAGAGCGCCGGGGGGGGGGGGGCACCTCCTGATGACAACGCTGGGGGGGGGCGCATGGAGAGGGGCCCGGGCACCTCCTGATGACGACGCTGGGGGCGCATGGAGAGGGGCCCGGGCACCTCCTGATGACGACGCTGGGGGGGGCATGGAGAGGGGCCCGGGCACCTCCTGATGACGACGCTGGGGGGGGCCATGGAGAGGGGCCCGGGCACCTCCTGATGACGACGCTGGGGGGGGGCCATGGAGAGGGGCCCGGGCACCTCCTGATGGCAATGCTGGGGGGGGGCATGGAGAGGGGCCTGGGCACCTCCTGATGATGGACGCTGGGGGGGCATGGAGAGGGGCCCGGGCACCTCCTGATGATGGGCGCTGGGGGGGGGCATGGAGAGGGGCCCGGGCACCTCCTGATGATGGACGCTGGGGGGGCATGGAGAGGGGCCCGGGCACCTCCTGATGACGACGCTGGGGGGGCATGGAGAGGGGCCCGGGCACCTCCTGATGACGACACTGGGGGGGGGGCGCATGGAGAGGGGCCCGGGCACCTCCTGATGATGGACGCTGGGGAGGAGGAGCAGAGAGGGCGCCCAGGCACCTCCTGAGGACGGACACTGGGTGTTGTCTGGAGACTGCGGGGCCAGCGACGCCCAGAGCGCCTCTGGAAGTCGAGCTGTGGCTGTCGGCTACGCAGGGAGGGAGGAGGTGGAATCTAGGCGCAGCCGGGCGCTGGCCAGGCCCAGTTCGGGAGTCTCCTTCTTCGTCTCAGAGGGCCATGATGTTTCCTAGGTTTCCGAGCAGCAACTCAAAGAAGCTGTGATGCAGGCCGGGGAGAGCCTCAGGCTGGGGAAGGAGCGGCAGCCGTGGGTCCTGGAGGGTAAGGACTTGCATGCCTCTGGCCAGAAGCCCGGGCTTCAGACATGAGCCTGAGGTGCAGGGCGCGTGGATTCAGATGGATCCGCTCGGTTCCCTCTCCACATGCAGCTCTGTGGGGACAAACCCCAGGCGATGCCAGCCAGTGGGGCCGGAGCTCACCCGAGGACACCCTGTCCACTTGTGTCCCGTGTCCCACGCAGGAGGGAAGAGGCTGGAGAGCAGCTGGCACGGGCGGCCCACGGTGGAGACGGGGCGGGAGAAGACCTCGGCGGCCGCACAGCGCCGGGCACAGGCCATGGTCCGCTCCAGCAGCGACTGCAGCTGCATGGCGGGGTCCCCCGGGGGAAGCCCCTGCAGCGGGGGCTCGGAGCCCCCGTCCTCGGGCCGGGGCAGGGAGCCCGGGCTGCCCCCGGACAGCCCCCCGCTCCCCGGCAGCCTGCACACCCACCCTCCCCTGAGACTGAAGAAATCCTCTGAGATTTTGGTGAGGAAGCCAACGGCCTCTAAGCCCAAGCCTCCTCCCAGAAAGTACTTCAAGAGCGACACCACGCCTCAGAGGAGTCTGAAAGAGAGAGAGAGCCTGCCATGTGCTTCCTGGCACACCCTGCCCACCTGCCGCCAGGTAAGGGGCTGTGCCCGGGTGCAGGGCTGCTCCTCTGTGTCCAGGTGTGAGGCTGTGCCCAGGTGTGGGGCTGCTCCTCTGTGCCCAGGGGCAGGGTTGTTCCTCTGTGCCCAGGGCAGGGCTGTGTCCAGGTGCAGGGCTGTGTCCAGGGGCAGGGCTGCTCGTCTGTGTCCAGGTGTGAGGCTGTGTCCAGGTGTGGGGCTGTTCCTCTGTGTCCAGGTGTGGGGCTGTGCCCAGGGCGGGGCTGTGTGCAGGCTCCCTGCGCCGTGCACAGCTGTGCCACGCAGACCTGCCATCCCCTGGCTCTGCAGAGAAGCCAGTACACAGGACCACGCGGAGAGAAGAAGTACAACAGCGGAAGCCTGGCTGGCTCATGGGCTTCCAGCTGTCCATCATAGACAGGCTGACCACAGACCGATGCCACACCGAAAACTACCAACACACTGACCCACGGCACACCAACACACAGTGCACACACAGTGCACACACACAGGGCACACCGACACACAGTGCACACACACACAGTGCACACACACAGGGCACACCGACACAGTGCACACACACACAGTGCACACACACAGGGCACACCGACACACAGTGCACACACACACAGTGCACACACACAGGGCACACCGACACACAGTGCACACACACACACAGTGCACACACACAGTGCACACCGACACACAGTGCACACACACACAGTGCACACACACAGGGCACACCGACACAGTGCACACACACACAGTGCACACACACAGTGCACACCGACACACAGTGCACACACACACACAGTGCACACACACAGGGCACACCGACACAGTGCACACACACAGGGCACACACACACACAGTGCACACACACAGTGCACACACACAGGGCACACCGACACACAGTGCACACACACACAGTGCACACACACAGGGCACACCGACACAGTGCACACACACACACAGTGCACACACACAGGGCACACCGACACACAGTGCACACACACACACAGTGCACACACACAGGGCACACCGACACAGTGCACACACACAGGGCACACACGCACACAGTGCACACACACACACAGTGCACACACACAGTGCACACACACAGTGCACACCGACACACAGTGCACACACACACACAGTGCACACACACAGGGCACACCGACACACAGTGCACACACACAGTGCACACACACAGGGCACACACACAGTGCACACACACAGTGCACACACACAGGGCACACCGACACAGTGCACACACACACACAGTGCACACACACAGGGCACACCGACACACAGTGCACACACACACAGTGCACACACACAGTGCACACACACACACAGTGCACACACACAGGGCACACCGACACACACAGTGCACACACACACACAGTGCACACACACAGGGCACACCGACACACAGTGCACACACACACAGTGCACACACACAGGGCACACCGACACACAGTGCACACACACACAGTGCACACACACAGGGCACACCGACACACAGTGCACACACACACAGTGCACACACACAGTGCACACACACACACAGTGCACACACACACACAGGGCACACACACACAGTGCACACACACACACAGTGCACACACAGTGCACACACACAGGGCACACCAACACACAGTGCACACACACACACAGTGCACACACACAGGGCACACCGACACACAGTGCACACAGTGCACACACACAGGGCACACCAACACAGTGCACACACACACAGTGCACACACAGTGCACACACACAGGGCACACCGACACAGTGCACACACACAGTGCACACACACAGGGCACACCGACACACAGTGCACACACACACACAGTGCACACACACAGGGCACACCGACACAGTGCACACACACAGGGCACACCAACACACAGTGCACACACACACACAGTGCACACACACAGGGCACACCAACACACAGTGCACACACAGTGCACACACACACAGTGCACACACACACAGTGCACACACACAGGGCACACCAACACACAGTGCACACACAGTGCACACACACAGGGCACACCGACACAGTGCACACACACACACAGTGCACACACACAGGGCACACCAACACACAGTGCACACACACACAGTGCACACACACAGGGCACACCGACACACAGTGCACACACACAGTGCACACACACAGGGCACACCGACACACAGTGCACACACACACAGTGCACACACACAGTGCACACACACACAGTGCACACACACACAGGGCACACACACAGTGCACACACACACACAGTGCACACACAGTGCACACACACAGGGCACACCAACACACAGTGCACACACACACACAGTGCACACACACAGGGCACACCGACACACAGTGCACACACAGTGCACACACACAGGGCACACCAACACACAGTGCACACACACACACAGTGCACACACACAGGGCACACCGACACACAGTGCACACACACACAGTGCACACACAGTGCACACACACAGTGCACACACACACAGTGCACACACACACAGTGCACACAGAGTGCACACACACAGGGCACACCGACACAGTGCACACACACACAGTGCACACACACAGGGCACACCGACACACAGTGCACACACACACAGTGCACACACACAGGGCACACCGACACACAGTGCACACACACACAGTGCACACACACAGTGCACACACACACAGGGCACACACACACAGGGCACACCGACACACAGTGCACACACAGTGCACACACACAGGGCACACCAACACAGTGCACACACACACAGTGCACACACAGTGCACACACACAGGGCACACCGACACACAGTGCACACACACACAGTGCACACACACACAGTGCACACACACAGTGCACACACACAGGGCACACCAACACAGTGCACACACACACAGTGCACACACACAGGGCACACCGACACACAGTGCACACACACACAGTGCACACACACAGGGCACACCGACACACAGTGCACACACACACACAGTGCACACACACAGGGCACACCGACACACAGTGCACACACACACAGTGCACACACCCAGGGCACACACACACAGTGCACACACACACACAGTGCACACACACAGGGCACACACACACACAGTGCACACACACAGTGCACACACACAGGGCACACCAACACAGTGCACACACACACAGGGCACACCGACACACAGTGCACACACAGTGCACACACACAGGGCACACCACCACACAGTGCACACACACACACAGTGCACACACACAGGGCACACCGACACAGTGCACACACACACAGTGCACACACACAGTGCACACACACACACACAGTGCACACACACACACAGTGCACACACACAGGGCACACCAACACACAGTGCACACACACACACAGTGCACACACACAGGGCACACCGACACAGTGCACACACACACAGTGCACACACACACAGTGCACACACACACACAGTGCACACACACAGTGCACACACACAGTGCACACACACAGTGCACACACACACACAGTGCACACACACAGGGCACACCGACACACAGTGCACACACACACAGTGCACACACACACAGTGCACACACACAGGGCACACCGACACAGTGCACACCCACACAGTGCACACACACAGGGCACACCGACACACAGTGCACACACACACACAGTGCACACACACAGGGCACACCGACACACAGTGCACACACAGTGCACACACACAGGGCACACACACACACAGTGCACACACACACACAGTGCACACACACAGTGCACACACACACACAGTGCACACACACAGTGCACACACACAGGGCACACCAACACAGTGCACACACACACAGTGCACACACACAGGGCACACCGACACACAGTGCACACACACACAGTGCACACACACAGGGCACACCGACACACAGTGCACACACACACACAGTGCACACACAGGGCACACCGACACACAGTGCACACACACACAGTGCACACATACGGCACACCAACATGGCACACACATACACCCATGGCACACCAACACAGTGCACACCAACACACACGGCACACCGACACACAGTGCACACCCACACACACACTCAGCACACCGACACGGCACACACACACACTCAGCACACCGACACGGCACACACACTCGGCACACCGACACGGCACACACACACTCGGCACACACACACACACACTCAGCACACCGACACGGCACACACACACACTCAGCACACCGACAGCACACACACACACACACTCGGCACACCGACATGGCACACACACACACTCGGCACACCGACACGGCACACACACACACACTCGGCACACCGACACGGCACACACACACACACACAGCACACCGACACGGAATGAAGGCGCTCCTGTGTGGGCCTTTGCCGCGCACACTGATGGAGACAGCAGAGGACAGAGATGTCCGTGCTCAGGTCCTCGGGAGCCGTCCGCTCCCCTCCTCCGCCCGTGGGCAGGCCCCAGGGTGCTCCCCTCCTCCGTCCGTGGGCAGTCCCCGGGGTGCTCCCCTCCTCCGTCCGTGGGCAGGCCCCGGGGTGCTCCCCTCCTCCGTCCGTGGGCAGGCCCCGGGGTGCTCCCCTCCTCCGTCCGTGGGCAGGCCCCGGGGTGCTCCCCTCCTCCGTCCGTGGGCAGGCCCCGGGGTGCTCCCCTCCTCTGCCCGTGGGCAGGCCCCGGGGTGCTCCCCTCCGTCCGTGGGCAGGCCCCGGGGTGCTCCCCTCCTCCGCCCGTGGGCAGGCTCCGGGGTGCTCCCCTCCTCCATGGGCAGGCCCCGGGGTGCTCCCCTCCTCCGTCCGTGGGCAGGCCCCGGGGTGCTCCCCTCCTCTGTGGGCAGGCCCCGGGGTGCTCCCCTCCTCCGTCCATGGGCAGGCCCCGGGGTACTCCCCTCCTCTGCCTGTGGGCAGGCCCCGGGGTGCTCCCCTCCTCCGTGGGCAGGCCCCGGGGTGCTCCCCTCCTCCGTCCGTGGGCAGGCCCCGGGGTGCTCCCCTCCTCCGCCTGTGGGCAGGCCCCGGGGTGCTCCCCTCCTCCGTGGGCAGGCCCCGGGGTGCTCCCCTCCTCCGTCCGTGGGCAGGCCCCGGGGTGCTCCCCTCCTCCGTCCGTGGGCAGGCCCCGGGGTGCTCCCCTCCTCCGTCCGTGGGCAGGCCCCGGGGTGCTCCCCTCCTCCGTCCGTGGGCAGGCCCCTGGGTGCTCCCCTCCTCCATCTGTGCATCTGTTCCTTGGGGCTGTGTGGTGGGGGCAGGGGCACACCCTTGGGGCCCGTGGGACCAGTCCTGGGCCTCCTCGAGGCCCACTCGGCACACAGAGGCGGGAAGGATGCGCTCTGTGAGGTGCGGTGACACTGCTGCCGTCCACGCTCTGTGTCCCTCCTTCCGCCCCGGTGAAGGCCCCTCACCTTCCCGCGGGGCTGCCGCTCTGATGCTTCCTGTTTACACCACAGGAAGCCAGGGAGCCGCTGCCTGCACCACCTCAGCAGGAAGACACCGTGGGGAGAGGCCCTGGGGCCACTGCCTTCGGCCCAGGACCTGAACTTGGCCCACAGACTGAGCCCCCCACGGAGGGCAAGCCAGGGAGAAGGGCCGGCCCAGGTAAGCGCCAGCCCCTCCCCAGGAGGAAGGCTGGGCAGAGATGGCTCCACTGGGAAAGTAGGGGAGCACCTTGGGCTGGAGACCACATGCTGCGCTGGCCTGCCCACCACTGGGGCTGATGGACAGCGCTGGCCTGCCATCCACTGGGGCTGATGGACAGCGCTGGCCTGGCCACCACTGGGGCTGATGGGCAGTGCTGGCCGGCCCACCACTGGGGCTGATGGACGGGGGGCCCCAGCGTTGGGCAGTGGGGGTGCTGCCCACAGTGGAGCCGGCCTAGAAACAGCGGTAGGCCCGTGTGCTCACACCTGGTACCTGAGTGCCCTGCGGGAAGCACGTGAGATGTCTCTGACAAGGAGCTGGGGATGGAATGTGCTCCCACACCACCCCCGGAGCAGGCCGACACGGCGGCCCCCCCCCCACGGCGGCCCCCCCCCGACACGGCACCCCCCCCCCCGACACGGCACCCCCCCCCGACACAGCAGCCCCCCCCGACACGGCGGCCCCCCCGACACAGCAGCCCCCCCCCGACACAGCGGCCCCCCCCGACACAGCAGCCCCCCCGACACGGCGGCCCCCCCAACACCGCGCCCCGCCCCCCCCGGCGGCCCCCCCCCCCCGGCCCATTCCCTCAATCACCCTGACTGACGAACAGCCGACCACCCCTGGAGCAGGCCCTGGCACGGCGGCCCCCCCCCCCCGACACGGCGGCCCCCCCGACACGGCACCCCACCCCCCCCCCCGCCCCGTTCCCTCAGTCACCCTAACTAACTGAAGAACAGCAGGAGAACGCGGTGTCCTGCCTGTTTGCGCAGGACACGCGCAGGTGGCCGTTGGCTCGAGGTCCCAGCGAAGGGCTCCTTCCCGCTGGCAGCTCTTCAGGGCAGAGCAGGGACGGGCCGGACTTCATCCCTACGTCCTGGTCCTGGAGCCCCGCCGCGTCCTGGAGGGGTGGGGAGGCGGGGTCTCCCCTCCCCTCCCCCAGACCCAAGAGGGTCAGAGGTCAGCCAGTCCCCCCAGGTCCTTCCGGTCCCTCCGGTGGTCTCTCAGATGGTGAGATGCTGTGCGGTCTGCTTCCTGGAGGGGCTGGCGTCTGGGCCCGGGAGAGGAGGGGCCTGTGCTCCTCACCCTGGGGTGCGAGCTGGCGCTCCGTGTTCTCCACAGACCCCCGCGGCCTCCTCGTGGCCACGGAAAGGTGTCCTGCGGCAAATGCTGAAGGCCGCAGGATGACCTTGCCTCTTGGCTGCCAGGGCACATGGGCAACCCTGGGCACGTGGGAAGAGTCTGGCAGTCTCATCGGCAGGCAGATGAACGCCGGCTCGATGCCCTGTGTGGGGGGGGTGGCACACACCGGCGGGCAGCGGGAGCCCCGGCCCCCGGCTCCGTCCTGGGCTTGTCCAGTCAGATCTCAGGAGTGCAGTCTTCAGGCTCCAGGGTGCTGTCACCAATCGGTGCGCAGGTTTTGTTTTCCTGGGCCTTGGGGTTGAGCCAGCGGATCGCCATCTGAGCACAGGCCTGTCCACACGTGTGAGCGGCACAGGAGCTTGCTGGCCCAGAGAGGCAGGCAGCTGCTGATGGGTGCAGAGCTGGGTCGGCCAGCAGCCCCGTCTGCTTCTTGCTCACTGCTGGGTGGTGGTTGTGTTGTTTTGTTTTGTCCTGGGGCTGCAACTCAGGGTCTGGGTACTGTCCTTAAGCTTTTGTGTTCAAGGCTAGCATGCTACCACTTTGAGCCACGCTTCTACTGGCTTTTAGGTAGTTAATTGGACGTGAGAGTCTTACATGCTTTCCTGCCCCAGCTGATTTTGAACCGAGACCCTCAGATCTCCACCTCCCGATTAGCTAGGATGACAGGTGTGAGCCACTGGTGCCTGGCTTACTTTGCTTCGGAATGGCCTGGCAATCCATAACAAATATGGCAGCCAACCGGTGGCCCCCAGCTGAACAGCTTTGGAAGGTAAAATAATTGCTTTGGCTTTTGCATCGGGTATGACTTGTATCTACTGGGCCTGGGGGCCTCCCAGGCTCTGTCCTCAGAGGGCCTCCTGCCTTATTGAGCACGGGAGTCCTCCGTGACACGCCGAGGTGGGCCGTCCCAGGGCCAGCGGTAGCACGCTAGCAAATAACTCCCCGTCCAATCCTGGATCCTGTCCGTGGGCACCGGGGCCGGGTGATGGGGCCCGGGGCCACCCCTTGCAGCCAGCGAGGGCTCACTGCGGTGTCTGCGGCCTCCATGTCTCCTCCATGGTCCTTACCGCGTCGCTTTGCAGCTAGAATTTAGGAAGGAAGCAAGCACACACAGCCCTGGCTTTGTCTCTGCTGGCGTGTGTAACGCTGGGTCCTGGCTTTGTCTCTGCTGGCATGTGTAACGCTGGGCCCTGGCTTTGTCTCTGCTGGCGTGTGTAACGCTGGGTCCTGGCTTTGTCTCTGCTGGCCTGTGTAACGCTGGGCCCTGGCTTTGTCTTTGCTGGCGTGTGTAACGCTCGGGCCTGGCTTTGTCTCTGCTCACAGTGGCCAGCGCGTCTCCACTAAAGCACCGGGTACTGAGGCGGCAGGTGCGGGTGGACCACGGCTTTGAGCCCACAGCTGAAGACCCGTGGGTGAGGATTTCCGACTGCATCAAGAACTTATTTAACCCCGTCATGAGCACCAGCCACAGCCGCGTGCCACGGCAGCCCGGCGACGGGCTGTGCGGAGAGGACGGGACGCAGGGCCACCCCGGCGAGGCCCTGCCCACGGCGGACACTGCCAACGGCGGGCCCAAGGTCCACACGCCAGCGGACAGCAGCGGCGTGAAGAGAGGGCCCCCCGTGGCGCCCAAGCCAGCCTGGTTCCACCAGAGCCTGAGCGGCCTGCGGAGGCGGCAGGAGGTCCCCCCGGCCGGCCAGCCCCAGGGGACTCGTGCCCCAGCCCCTGCCACCTCCATCAAGCAGAGGATCAGCTCCTTTGAAAACCTGGCCTCCTCTCAGACACCTGACAGAGCTCAGAGGCTGAGCCTCCACCCCTCCTCCGGGGAGGCCCCCAGCCCTTCCGGGAAGCCCGAGGACGGGCGGCCGCCTGGGCTTTGGGGGCCAGGAGCCCCGCTCTCTGCCACGCACAAGCAGCCAGAGCAGCTGCCCCAGGGCCTCCCGGAAGCCTCACCATCTGGTGACCCAGCTGTGCCTGCGTCCCCGACCCCAGCTCGGCCGCCTGGCCGGGAAACCCGGGACTCGGGCTCCCGCCCGAGGCCGCTGTCCTCAGAGGCCGAGGACGCCCAAGGTCCAGCCCTCAAGATGCCAAGCCAGCGGGCACGGAGCTTCCCCCTGGCCAGGACCAAGTCTTGTGAGGCCACGGCCGGGGCCGGGAGGTCCGGTGAGCTCTACGCCATCAGCAGCCAGGTGTCCTCCGCCGTCATGAAGTCCCTGCTGTGCGTGGCGTCCCCTGCCCCTGGCAGCCAGGCCGCCCGCCCCCCCCCCGGAAGGGGCAGCCCCCCGGCCGGCCTCCAGCCAAGACGCCCCTGCAGACGGGCCTGCCAACGCCGCGGCGCCGGACACCAGCTTCTCCCTCAAGTGAGGGCCGCATCCCCGGTCTTCTGTCTCGTCTCTCCTTTCTCCTTGTTATAGGTTATAATCCTACGTGTCAGTTTAAGGTTTGCTCGGCTCTACCAGCCCAAAGGTGGTTCTTTTCTGGTGTGTGTGTGTGTGTATACACATGTGCGTATAGTACACCTGTTTTCACTCCTGGCCTCCAGAGGGACGGCAGGTGGTGGACAGGGCCGGGGAGGCAGGGAGGTCTGGAAGGGGAGGTCCTGGGGCAAGGCCCTGACCTCTGGAGGAGCAGGCTTCCTGGGGAGGCCTTCCCCAGCAGGACCATTTCCCTCTGCCTCGGGGTCAGCCCTGAGCAGGGCCTGAGGTCCTCTGCGTTGGTTCCAGCCCCAGGCCAGTGCCAGCTCTGACCATGGGTTCCCGCCACGCAGGCGCAGTGCCAGGCCGGAGCCGTGGGGCTCTGGCCGCGGGCCTGGGCTGCCATCTCATTTATTTTTGTGCAGAAGCCTTTGTAACCTGAGGGTGCTCCATGGTGACATTCCCCCTCCCCACCCCCTTCCCCACCCCAGACTCTTCCTCTCATCCCATTCCCTCACCCAAATCCTCCTTTCCCGTGCCCGTCCCCCGTGCAGAGTTTGGAGGGTTTCTTGGTCTCCCTCCTTGACCCACCATCTCTGCCCCTGTTAAGTTCTATCTGTTGTTATTGTGCCGCCGAGAACAGATTTGTTGCCTGAATAAAATGCGCAGAGCATCTGGCCCTGCGTCCGTGCGGGTGCGGTGCTGATGCTGCGTCCGTGCGGGTGCGGTGCTGATGTTGCGTCCGTGCGGGTGCGGTGCTGATGTTGCGTCCGTGCGGGTGCGGTGCTGATGCTGCGTCCGTGCGGGTGCGGTGCTGATGCTGCGTCCGTGCGGGTGCGGTGCTGATGCTGCGTCCGTGCGGGTGCGGTGCTGATGCTGCGTCCGTGCGGGTGCGGTGCTGATGTTGCGTCCGTGCGGGTGCGGTGCTGATGTTGCGTCCGTGCGGGTGCGGTGCTGATGTTGCGTCCGTGCGGGTGCGGTGCTGATGCTGCGTCCGTGCGGGTGCGGTGCTGATGCTGCGTCCGTGCGGGTGCGGTGCTGATGCTGCGTCCGTGCGGGTGCGGTGCTGATGCTGCGTCCGTGCGGGTGCGGTGCTGATGCTGCGTCCGTGCGGGTGCGGTGCTGATGCTGCGTCCGTGCGGGTGCGGTGCTGATGCCAGCTTTACGGGCTTGTTATTCACGCTGTGCACTGCTTCCTCCCGTCAAGCCTTTCTGAGCTGAGAGGATTCACGGAGGGGCTGGCCGCGCCCTCGGAGGCCTGCTGCGCCTCTCAGCCCTCTCAGCCTGGCCAGTCGGTCATCGCCCTGCTGAGCCCGGCGGAACTGAGACAGCTCAAGGAGGAAGTGAGCGCCCTGGACGAGGCCTCGCTGAAAGTAGGTTCCCCCCCCCCCCAGGGCGCTGTGGGGGGGCGTGGCCACCCGGGGCCTGCAAGGATGGGCCTGAGGGTTGAGAGCATGGCTCCAGGGATGGGCCTGAGGGTTGAAGCGTAGCTCCAGGGATGGGCCTGAGGGTTGAGAGCATGGCTCCAGGGATGGGCCTGAGGGTTGAAGCGTAGCTCCAGGGATGGCCCTGAGGGTTGGGAGATGGTCACGTCCTCACAGTCAGCATCCTGTTTGGAGGAAGCGTTACAGCCGGTGCCCGGGCAGGGGAGCATGGGCGTGCGAGCCCCATGCCGGCCGGGGAGTGTGCACTTTCTTGCGGGCACAGGATTGTTACAGGTGTTCTTGTCTGCAGAAACTAGACAGCATCCGAGTCACAGTTCTGCACAAGGAGGAAGGAGTCGGCCTCGGGTTCAGCCTGGCAGGGGGTGTGGACCTGGAGAACAAGGTGATCACGGTGAGTGGGCCAGCGTGGGCCAGCGGTGAGGGCCGGCCAGGCTGGATGGTGGGGAACTGAGGGAGAGGCGGAGCTCTGGGGAGGGAGGGAGGGAGGCGGAGCTGGGGGAGGGAGGCAGAGCTTGGGGGAGGGAGGGAGGCAGAGCTCTGGGGAGGGAGGGAGGGAGGCAGAGCTCTGGGGAGGGAGGGAGGGAGGTGGGGCTCTGGGGAGGGAGGGAGGGAGGCGGAGCTCTGGGGAGGGAGGGAGGGAGGTGGGGCTCTGGGGAGGGAGGGAGGCGGGGCCCTGGGGAGGGAGGGAGGCAGAGCTGGAGGAGGGAGGCGGACCTGGGGGAGGGAGGGAGGCAGAGCTCTGGGGAGGGATGGAGGCAGAGCTTGGGGGAGGGAGGTGGAGCTTGGGGGAGGGAGGGAGGCGGAGCTCTGGGGAGGGAGGGAGGGAGGCGGGCCCTTGGGAGGGAGGGAGGCGGAGCTCTGGGGAGGGACTGAGGGAGGCGGAACTTGGTGAAGAAGGTAAATGTGGAACTTTGGTGGGGAAGGAAGTTAGGAGGAACTCTGGCCCTGAGCTCTGCCCTGGGGCTGGAGGGAAGGAGGGAAGGAACGCTGGCCTGCCAGCAGCCCTGTCCTGGCACCCAGAGACCCCAAATCTGTGCCTCCTTCCTCTGGGCTGGTTACTGGCAGTCAGGTCTGGTCTCGGGGGCAGGCCTGCTGGGCGGCTTCCACACCCACTGTTGGGCCGGCAGGTTCACAGAGTCTTCCCTGGGGGCCTGGCCTCCCGGGAGGGCACGATCCGGAAGGACGACGAGGTTCTGTCCATCAACGGCAAGTCCCTCAAAGAGGCCACGCACAGCGACGCCCTGGCCGTCCTCCGCCAGGCTCGGGACCCGCGGCAGGCCGTGATTGTCACCAGGCCGGCGGAGGGGCCCACGCCGGACCTGCACGGCACAGGCTCGGCGGCCAGCCAGGCTTCTGCAGAGCCGGGTAAGCTCTCCCGGTCAGAGGAGGCCTTGACCCTTTGGAGCCGGTCTTGTCGCCCCACACTGGGGGAGCTCCAACGGGCGATCACAGCGCAGCCGTGCGGGCCGCCTGGTCCACCCGGTGAGTGGGCGCGTGCGTGAGCGGCCGGGCGTGGGCACGCGTGGAGCTCCAGCCAGGCCTGCGGTTTCCTCCACAGCAGGAGCCACCGTCCTCACCGTGACCCTGGAGAAGACCTCTGCAGGGCTGGGCTTCAGCCTGGAAGGCGGGAGGGCCTCCCTGCTCGGGGACAGGCCCCTCACCGTCAACAGGATTTTCAAAGGTGGGTGCTAGGCTTGCTGTTCCTTGCTGGCTGGATGTGTGTCCAGGTGTGGGTGTGTCCAGCTTGGGTGTGTGTCCAGCGTGGGTGTGTGTCCTCGTGGGTGTGTGTCCAGCGTGGGTGTGTGTCCAGCGTGGGCGTGTGTCCCGCATGGGTGTGTGTCCAGCGTGGGTGTGTCCAGCGTGGGTGTGTCCAGCGTGGGTGTGTCCCGTGTGGGTGTGTCCAGCGTGGGTGTGTGTCCAGCGTGGGCGTGTGTCCCGCGTGGGTGTGTGTCCAGCGTGGGTGTGTCCCGCGTGGGTGTGTCCAGGTGTGGGTGTGTCCAGCGTGGGTGTGTGTCCTCGTGGGTGTGTGTCCAGCGTGGGTGTGTGTCCAGCGTGGGCGTGTGTCCCGCGTGGGTGTGTGTCCAGCATGGGTGTGTGTCCCGCATGGGTGTGTGTCCAGCGTGGGTGTGTCCCGCGTGGGTGTGTCCCGCGTGGGTGTGTGTCCCGCGTGGGTGTGTCCAGCGTGGGTGTGTGTCCTCGTGGGTGTGTGTCCAGCGTGGGTGTGTCCTCGTGGGTGTGTGTCCAGCGTGGGTGTGTGTCCAGCGTGGGTGTGTGTCTGTCCAGCATGGGTGTGTCCAGCGTGGGTGTGTCCGCGTGGGTGTGTGTCCCGCGTGGGTGTGTCCCGCGTGGGTGTGTGTCCCGCGTGGGTGTGTGTCCCGCGTGGGTGTGTCCTCGTGGGTGTGTGGCTGGGCGTGGGTGTGTGTCCAGCGTGGGCGTGTGTCCCGCGTGGGCGTGTGTCCAGCGTGGGTGTGTCCAGCGTGGGTGTGTGTCCAGCGTGGGCGTGTGTCCAGCGTGGGTGTGTCCCGCGTGGGCGTGTGTCCAGCGTGGGTGTGTCCCGCGTGGGTGTGTGTCCCGCGTGGGCGTGTGTCCAGCGTGGGTGTGTCCCGCGTGGGTGTGTGTCCGCGTGGGTGTGTCCAGCGTGGGTGTGTGTCCGCGTGGGTGTGTCCCGCGTGGGTGTGTGTCCGCGTGGGTGTGTCCAGCGTGGGTGTGTGTCCAGCGTGGGTGTGTGTCCGCGTGGGTGTGTGTCCTCGTGGGTGTGTGTCCAGCGTGGGTGTGTCCAGCGTGGGTGTGTGTCCGCGTGGGTGTGTGTCCCTCGTGGGTGTGTGTCCAGCGTGGGTGTGTCTCCCGCGTGGGTGTGTCCTCATGGGTGTGTGGCTGGGCGTGGGTGTGTGTCCAGCGTGGGTGTGTCCCGCGTGGGTGTGTGTCCCGCGTGGGTGTGTGTCCCGCGTGGGTGTGTCCAGCGTGGGCGTGTCCAGCGTGGGTGTGTCCAGCGTGGGTGTGTGTCCCGCGTGGGTGTGTCCCGCGTGGGTGTGTCCCGCGTGGGTGTGTCCACCGTGGGTGTGTTTCCACCGTGGGTGTGTCCCACGTGGGTGTGTCCCGCGTGGGTGTGTCCACCGTGGGTGTGTGTCCACCGTGGGTGTGTCCAGCGTGGGTGTGTGTCCCGCGTGGGTGTATGTCCAGCGAGGGTGTGTCCAGCGTGGGTGTGTGTCCCGCGTGGGTGTGTGTCCCGCGTGGGTGTGTCCCGCGTGGGTGTGTCCGCGTGGGTGTGTGTCCCACGTGGTTGTGTGTCCCGCGTGGGTGTGTCCCGCGTGGGTGTGTCCAGCGTGGGTGTGTCCAGAGTGGGTGTGTCCAGCGTGGGTGTGTGTCCCGTGTGGGTGTCCTCGTGGGTGTGTGGCTGGGGGTGGGTGTGTCCCGCGTGGGTGTGTCCCGCGTGGGTGTGTCCAGCGTGGGTGTGTCCAGCGTGGGTGTGTCCGGTGTGGGTGTGTGTCCCACGTGGGTGTGTGTCCCACGTGGGTGTGTCCCGCGTGGGCGTGTGTCCCGCGTGGGTGTGTCCCGCGTGGGTGTGTCCAGCGTGAGTGTGTGTCCAGCGTGGGTGTGTCCAGCGTGGGTGTGTGTCCAGCGTGGGTGTGTCCGGCGTGGGTGTGTGTCCCGCATGGGCGTGTGTCCCGCGTGGGCGTGTGTCCCGCGTGGGTGTGTCCAGCGTGGGTGTGTCCCGCGTGGGTGTGTCCCGCGTGGGTGTGTCCCGTGTGGGCGTGTGTCCCGCGTGGGTGTGTGTCCCGCGTGGGTGTGTGTCCCGCGTGGGTGTGTCCCGTGCGGGCGTGTGTCCCGCGTGGGTGTGTGTCCCGCGTGGGTGTGTGTCCCGTGTGGGTGTGTGTCCAGCGTGGGTGTGTGTCCAGCGTGAGCGTGTCCCGCGTGGGCGTGTGTCCAGCGCGGGCGTGTTCTTGTGGGTGTGTGGCTGGGCGTGTATGTGTAGCCGGTGGGCATGTGGCCAGGTGTGGTGTCTGCACCATGCACAGGCCTGCGGCGCCTGCGGCCTTGCCTCTTGAGCTGCTCTCCGGCATCTCCTGACCTCTCTTTGGCTGGGTCCCTTTATGGGACTGAAGTCTGTGGGTTCAGTTTTGCAGAGGCAGCGTATTGCCTTGAGGCACAAAACTGAAGGGGTCCCCAAATATGTAGTAATCAAGGCCAGTAATATTCCAGTCTAAAACCCCAAATGAGTGTTTAAAAAGGCCCATGGTGAACGAAATGTCAGGGTAAAAGCCAGAGGCTGTCCCACACGGCCTCCTGCCTGCCTGTGACCCAGGGTAAAGCTGGAGGCCGGCGCTGTGCTCCTGCCTGTGACCCAGGGTGAAGCCGGAGGCTGGTGCTGTGCTCCTGCCTGTGACCCAGGGTAAAGCCGGAGGCTGGTGCTGTGCCCGTCCACATAGCCTCCTGCCCTACTGCGTCCTGAACCCCTCATTGCTAGTGCCTCTATAATTCTGGCACCGTACCTGTCATGAACTGGGATACAAGACAGTAAAATGAGGGGGGTCACCTAGATTTGGGGTTTCCTGTGACACCTCTGGGGATGGCCTGTAACGCCCCCTACTCCACCCTGACTTCCTGCTGCTCACGCTGGAAGCCCTGGGCCACGGGGCAGGCTGAGAGGAGCACTGGACAGGGCCTTCCTCATGAAAGGAGGCGACAGATACGGTGGTGTCTGGGGTGCTCACGGACCCCGAAGCACCCTGGCCCTGCCCCGGCCTGTGGCCTGGCCCCGTGGGAGTTCACACGCCTGTGGCCTGGCCCCGTGGGAGTCCACACGCCTGTGGCCTGGCCCCGTGGGAGTTCACACGCCTGTGGCCTGGCCCCGTGGGAGTTCACACGCTCAGGGCAGGCAGGCCCTCACCTCAGTTTGGAGAGGGGCCCGTCCCCCCTCCGGAGGCGGGTCTAGAGTCAGCAGCAGCTCTAACACCAAGGGACGCGGGGCCCAGCGTCCGCGCTGCCGTTCACACACATGGCGCGGCATCCACTTACAGAGGGCCCACGGCAGGGACACAGCATCCCCGGTGGAAGGCCCCACCAGGTCCTGGGCACAGCGCGGGCTGTGGCTTTTTAGGGGCCACAGAGTGCGGAAGCCCAGCACCTGCCTCGGGAGCCACTGCTTACAGACGCCGCCTTTTAGACACGCCAGGCTTGTCGGAGCAGGGCAGAGGCTGGCCTCGTCCTCAGAGCCCACGGGCTTGCGGGGGCAGGATGGAGGCCAGCCTGGCCCTCAGAGCCCACGGGCTTGCAGGGCAGGACGGAGGCCGGCCTGGCCCTCAGAGCCCACGGGCTTGCAGGGCAGGATGGAGGCCAGCCTGGCCCTCAGAGCCCACGGGCTTGCAGGGCAGGACGGAGGCCGGCCTGGCCCTCAGAGCCCACGGGCACTTTTTCATCTCAGGGACCACCTCAGAACAGAGTGACACAGTCCAGCCGGGAGACGAAGTCTTGCACGTGGCTGGCACTGCCACGCAGGGCCTCACGCGGTACGAGGCCTGGAGCGTCATCAAGGCCTTGCCGGAGGGGCCTGTCTCCGTGGTCATCAAGAGGAGGAGGCTTCCGTCCAAAGCCGCTGTGGCTGCTGAAGATGCCTAGGCAGAGGACTGCTCGTGGGGGCGAAGCCATGCTGATTCCCCAGACCCCCCCCCCCCCGCAGTGTGCGCCCCACGGCTGCTGCCCCCCCCCCGCAGTGTGCGCCCCCCCCGGCTGCTGCCCCCCCCCCGCAGTGTGCGCCCCCCCCGGCTGCTGCCCCCCCCCCCCCGCAGTGTGCGCCCCACGGCTCCCCCCCCCCCGCAGTGTGCGCCCCACGGCTCCTCCCCCCCCCCGCAGTGTGCGCCCCACGGCTGCTGTCCCCCCGCAGTGTGCGCCCCACGGCTCCTCCCCCCCCCCCCCGCAGTGTGCGCCCCCCGGCTGCTGTCCCCCCCCCCCCGCAGTGTGCACCCCACGGCTCCTCCCCCCCCCGCAGTGTGCGCCCCCCCGGCTGCTGTCCCCCTGCAGTGTGCGTCCCACGGCTCCTCCCCCACCCCCCCCGCAGTGTGCGCCCCCCCCCCGGCTGCTGCCCCCCCCCCCCGCAGTGTGCGCCCCACGGCTGCTGCCCCCCCCCCCGCAGTGTGCGCCCCCCGGCTGCTGCCCCCCCCGCAGTGTGCGCCCCCCGGCTGCTGCCCCCCCCCCGCAGTGTGCGCCCCCCCCCCGGCTGCTGTCCCCCCGCAGTGTGCGCCCCCCGGCTGCTGCCCCCCCCCCGCAGTGTGCGCCCCCCGGCTGCTGCCCCCCCCGCAGTGTGCGCCCCACGACTGCTGCCCCCCCGGCAGTGTGCGCCCCACGGCTGCTGCCCCCCCCCCGCAGTGTGCGCCCCACGGCTGCTGCCCCCCCCCCCTCAGTGTGCGCCCCACGGCTCCTCCCCCCCCTCAGTGTGCGCCCCACGGCTCCTCCCCCCCGCAGTGTGCGCCCCACGACTGCTGCCCCCCCCGCAGTGTGCGCCCCACGACTGCTGCCCCCCCCCGCAGTGTGCGCCCCCCGGCTGCTGCCCCCCCCCCGCAGTGTGCGCCCCCCAGCTGCTGCCCCCCCCGCAGTGTGCGCCCCACGGCTCCTCCCCCCCCCACAGTGTGCGCCCCCCCGGCTGCTGCCCCCCCCCCCCGCAGTGTGCGCCCCACGGCTGCTGCCCCCCCCCCGCAGTGTGCGCCCCACGGCTGCTGCCCCCCCCCCCGCAGTGTGCGCCCCACGGCTCCTCCCCCCCCCCCCGCAGTGTGCGCCCCACGGCTCCTCCCCCCCCCCGCAGTGTGCGCCCCACGACTGCTGCTCCCCCACAGTGTGCGCCCCACGGCTGCTGCCCCCCCCCTCAGTGTGCGCCCCACGGCTCCTCCCCCCCCCCCCGCAGTGTGCGCCCCCCCGGCTCCTCCCCCCCCCCCGCAGTGTGCGCCCCACGACTGCTGCCCCCCCACAGTGTGCGCCCCACGACTGCTGCCCCCCCGCAGTGTGCGCCCCACGGCTGCTGCCCCCCCCCGCAGTGTGCGCCCCCCGGCTGCTGCCCCCCCGCAGTGTGCGCCCCACGGCTCCTCCCCCCCCCGCAGTGTGCGCCCCCCGGCTGCTGCCCCCCCCGCAGTGTGTGCCCCACGGCTCCTCCCCCCCCCCCCCGCAGTGTGCGCCCCACGACTGCTGCCCCCCCCATAGTGTGCGCCCCACGACTGCTGCCCCCCCGCAGTGTGCGCCCCACGGCTGCTGCCCCCCCCCCGCAGTGTGCGCCCCCCGGCTGCTGCCCCCCCGCAGTGTGCGCCCCACGGCTCCTCCCCCCCCGCAGTGTGCGCCCCCCGGCTGCTGCCCCCCCCCCGCAGTGTGCGCCCCACGGCTGCTGCCCCCCCCCCCGCAGTGTGCGCCCCACGGCTGCTGCCCCCCCCCGCAGTGTGCGCCCCACGGCTCCTCCCCCCCCCCCCGCAGTGTGCGCCCCACGGCTCCCCCCCCCCCCCTCCCGACAGCACTGAAGCAGATGGCTGCTGACAGTGGCGGAGGAGCCAGGATGGCAGTGCTGTGTATGAGTGACGGATGTCGCTGTCAGAATACAACCTTCAGACTCAGCTTGTTACCAATGCATAGCACGCGTTGCAAACAACCGTCGCAGTACGGTAACCACTTAGCCTGTAACAGCAACTTTGTTTTCTCGGCAGCGGATGAGGCAGGGTGGGAAGGGTGGGGGTGGACGGGGGTGGAGGGGGAGCCGGCCCCTGACAGCCCTGGAGCAGCTCCGTGCTGGGGCTGCGATGTGGGAGCCCCTCGGCTGCCCAGGGGCTGAGGCTAGCTGATGGCGGGAACTCTGCTGACCTGGGTCTGCCCACCTGCGGGAGGTTCTGTGGAAGGCTCCTGAGGGCAGGGTGTCCGGCAGACTTCCATACAGAGCAGCTGGCACACAGGGGGACCCAGAGACAAGGGGCGGGCTGAGCCGCACCACTCAGAGACAAGGGGCGGGCTGAGCCACACCACCCCAGGATCAGTACATCAGGAGACACTGAAGGAGCCTTCCACCAGCCTGACGCCAGGCCATCATGACAGAAAGCTTGCTCCCCTGCTGGTTCCCAGGAAAGGGAGGGACCAGGGCTCTGACACCGCCATGGAAACTAGCATCACCCAAAAGAAGTACTTTAGAGGCAGAAGGATGGATATAATGCACACCTACCCAGGCTGCCACATGAGAACTATTGGCCTGAACACAGGAGGAGTAGGTAGAGGAGGTCTGTGTGTGATCACAGGAGACAGTGGGTAGAGGAGGTCTGTGTGTGGTCACAGCAGACAGTGGGTAGAGGAGGTCTGTGTGTGGTCACAGGAGACAGTGGGTAGAGGAGGTCTGTGTGTGGTCACAGCAGACAGTGGGTAGAGGAGGTCTGTGTGTGGTCACAGCAGACAGTGGGTAGAGGAGGTCTGTGATCACAGGAGACAGTGGGTAGAGGAGGTCTGTGTGTGGTCACAGGAGACAGTGGGTAGAGGAGGTCTGTGTGTGGTCACAGGAGACAGTGGGTAGAGGAGGTCTGTGATCACAGCAGACAGTGGGTAGAGGAGGTCTGTGTGTGATCACAGCAGACAGTGGGTAGAGGAGGTCTGTGTGTGATCACAGCAGACAGTGGGTAGAGGAGGTCTGTGTGTGATCACAGCAGACAGTGGGTAGAGGAGGTCTGTGATCACAGGAGACAGTGGGTAGAGGAGGTCTGTGTGTGGTCACAGGAGACAGTGGGTAGAGGAGGTCTGTGTGTGGTCACAGCAGACAGTGGGTAGAGGAGGTCTGTGTGTGGTCACAGCAGACAGTGGGTAGAGGAGGTCTGTGATCACAGCAGACAGTGGGTAGAGGAGGTCTGTGTGTGGTCACAGGAGACAGTGGGTAGAGGAGGTCTGTGTGTGATCACAGGAGACAGTGGGTAGAGGAGGTCTGTGTGTGATCACAGCAGACAGTGGGTAGAGGAGGTCTGTGTGTGGTCACAGGAGACAGTGGGTAGAGGAGGTCTGTGTGTGGTCACAGGAGACAGTGGGTAGAGGAGGTCTGTGTGTGGTCACAGCAGACAGTGGGTAGAGGAGGTCTGTGTGTGGTCACAGCAGACAGTGGGTAGAGGAGGTCTGTGATCACAGGAGACAGTGGGTAGAGGAGGTCTGTGTGTGATCACAGCAGACAGTGGGTAGAGGAGGTCTGTGTGTGGTCACAGCAGACAGTGGGTAGAGGAGGTCTGTCTGTGATCACAGCAGACAGTGGGTAGAGGAGGTCTGTGTGTGGTCACAGCAGACAGTGGGTAGAGGAGGTCTGTGTGTGATCACAGGAGACAGTGGGTAGAGGAGGTCTGTGTGTGATCACAGGAGACAGTGGGTAGAGGAGGTCTGTGTGTGATCACAGCAGACAGTGGGTAGAGGAGGTCTGTGTGTGGTCACAGCAGACAGTGGGTAGAGGAGGTCTGTGATCACAGGAGACAGTGGGTAGAGGAGGTCTGTGTGTGGTCACAGGAGACAGTGGGTAGAGGAGGTCTGTGTGTGATCACAGGAGACAGTGGGTAGAGGAGGTCTGTGTGTGGTCACAGGAGACAGTGGGTAGAGGAGGTCTGTGTGTGATCACAGCAGAAAGTGGGTAGAGGAGGTCTGTGGTCACAGGAGACAGTGGGTAGAGGAGTTCTGTGGTCACAGCAGACAGTGGGTAGAGGAGGTCTGTGATCACAGGAGACAGTGGGTAGAGGAGGTCTGTGGTCACAGGAGACAGTGGGTAGAGGAGGTCTGTGATCACAGCAGACAGTGGGTAGAGGAGGTCTATGATCACAGCAGACAGTGGGTAGAGGAGGTCTGTGTGTGATCACAGGAGACAGTGGGTAGAGGAGGTCTGTGATCACAGGAGACAGTGGGTAGAGGAGGTCTGTCTGTGATCACAGCAGACAGTGGGTAGAGGAGGTCTGTCTGTGATCACAGCAGACAGTGGGTAGAGGAGGTCTGTGATCATAGCAGACAGTGGGTAGAGGAGGTCTGTGTGTGGTCACAGCAGACAGTGGGTAGAGGAGGTCTGTCTGTGGTCACAGCAGACAGTGGGTAGAGGAGGTCTGTGTGTGATCACAGCAGACAGTGGGTAGAGGAGGTCTGTCTGTGATCACAGCAGACAGTGGGTAGAGGAGGTCTGTGATCACAGCAGACAGTGGGTAGAGGAGGTCTGTCTGTGGTCACAGGAGACAGTGGGTAGAGGAGGTCTGTGTGTGATCACAGCAGACAGTGGGTAGAGGAGGTCTGTGTGTGATCACAGGAGACAGTGGGTAGAGGAGGTCTGTGATCACAGCAGACAGTGGGTAGAGGAGGTCTGTGATCACAGCAGACAGTGGGTAGAGGAGGTCTGTGTGTGATCACAGCAGACAGTGGGTAGAGGAGGTCTGTGATCACAGCAGACAGTGGGTAGAGGAGGTCTGTGTGTGATCACAGCAGACAGTGGGTAGAGGAGGTCTGTGATCACAGCAGACAGTGGGTAGAGGAGGTCTGTGATCACAGCAGACAGTGGGTAGAGGAGGTCTGTGTGTGGTCACAGGAGACAGTGGGTAGAGGAGGTCTGTGTGTGATCACAGCAGACAGTGGGTAGAGGAGGTCTGTGATCACAGGAGACAGTGGGTAGAGGAGGTCTGTGTGTGATCACAGCAGACAGTGGGTAGAGGAGGTCTGTGTGTGATCACAGC